CTAGGGGAGGCTGATTTTGACTCTCTTCTAGTCTGGCCGAACCTTTCTTTCTTCTTCTTCTTCTTCTTCTTCTTCTTCTTCTTCTTCTTCTTCTTCTTTCTCTTTTCTTTCTTCTTCTCTACTTCAACCTAGAATCTGCTAGGGTTTATTAACATAAATGATATTATAAAAGGCGCCCGCCTTGTCATTTTTGTCACCTAGGCGGGCGCTTAGTCGCCTAGTTGCTAAAAATCAAGGCATTTGGGAGAGGCGCCCAGCCAATGCCTTGACAACTATGAGCCCATCCACGAGAAAATACTGTGGATGATAAATTGGGGTGTGGCTCATCCCTGTCCATGCTATTTTCTAGACGGGGACTATCCACTTCCACACAAAGCAGAACACCACATTCTATCGTGGACAAGACCAAAACGGCCCCATCCACGATATTTTCACACTACCGAACACCCTCTAAGTGGCTCTGGAAGCAACTCTTGAAAAGAAAGACCAACTTTTTCTTGCAGTATGTACTTTCAAGGGTTCCACCATGTCCGTAAAGAAAATTGTATACTCATTTATCTTTGAAGTTTATAGTGCCTTGATCTTTGCATTTGATTAGCTGTTGAGTAGAAATTGGAAACTTTTTTATCATTGGTGTGAACCAATGTAAGAGTTTTAGAGTTATGTTCTTTGCTCCTAGAACCCTAGATGTTTTTTAGTGGCTTCCCAATTTTAATTTTACTGATTTTTGGTTCTTAACTTAGTGCAGCTAGGAATTCTTTAGTTCTTTAATAATTAAGATCAGTTGAATTCCAACTAGAGTCCAAGTATTTTCTAATTCTCTCATGATACCTTGTCTAACAAGGCGAAGTGCCAAGACGTTTTTGCTGACTCCACTTGGAGCATCATTGACATCATATATGATATAACAAGTGCCAACAAAGCTAGGCCCAACCACCCAACTGTGTTGCAATGTCTCAGTAACGTTGGACAAGGTTATATTAAATGGATTTAGATGGTTTGACCATATGAAATGAAGACTAATGAGTGCACCAGTAAAAAAGAACCAATGTGGTACAAGTTGCAATCTCTGAAAGGGCAACTAAAAGACCGAATATGTTTTAATTTGAGGTAGTAAGAAGAAACTTCAATCTATAAATCAATGGAACCACTGGTTCTTTAGTTGGACTAAATTGTGCATAGCAAAATATAACACAGAAATAATCATTTGATATGAAGGCAACAAGTATAAGGTGCCCAATCTAACAAAGATTTGATAGAGGTCATTACATTTGATATGTCTTTTTGTTGTCTAGATGTTAATAGAGGTCATTACAATATTCAAAGATTTGATATCCATTTTACTTCTGCCTTTCTGATTAATTTGTATAAGTACTGCAATTCCCAATGTTCAACAGTTCTCCAAAAAATACCTACTACAAAAGTTTCTGGGCGATGACCACCAACCAGACAATGTTTGTTAATGTGCAAGTTATATACAATTTTTCATTTTCAATGTTACATTGGTGACAAAGTAGTAATGAATTTCAGCTGTCCAATTTCATTGTAGCTAAAATTTAAATGATGAGACCCATCAAAGTTCAACAGTTCTTACAAAATTTCCATGGTACAGTCTCTGTAAAACTCAAATACCATATCAAATTGTGTAATTACCCACTACTTTGTTTTTCGGTGTTTATATTATACTTATCATCATCATCATCATCATCTAAGCCTTCTCCCAACTATATGGGGTCAGCTACATGAATTATGTTTTGCTATTCTTCCATATGTGGGCGCTTAAATCATTTCTTACTACTTCCACCCAACCTAGATGGCAAACCAAATTGTGCATTTTATTAATCTGTTAGTTATAGAATGAAAAAGATCATATAGATGATAAGCAAGGGTAATAACTAAGTTACCAGTACTAGTGCAAAACTGCACATAAATACCAGAGCTAAGCATCGTGAAAATTAGTATAGTAAACAGCAAGGTAACACAAAAACTAACCTGTCATTCTTTGCATGAACTGATAGCAGCATACAATAGCACATGACATTAGGCATGATTCCCAAAGATTTAATTTCCTGAAACTGCTCCTTACTCTCATCAACAAGACCTGCAGAGCAGTAAACTCTTAAAACAGCCTCAAGAGTCCTCTCATCAGGGTCACATCTTGCCTTTTCCATCTCAACATATGACTTAATAGCTGCTTCAAACTGTCCCCCCTGTCCAAAGGCTTCAATCATACTATTGAATGAATCCCTGTTACGTGCAACACCAGACTCGCCCATTTGCCACATTATTGCCTCTGACTCCTTGTAGAGACCACCTCTAGCAAATGTGTGTAACAGAGAGTTGTAGGTTTCAACTGTTGGCTTGCTACCAACCTCATGCATTGTATTAAATGCAACAAGAGCTTCCTCATACAATGCAGCCTGTCCATATGCCTCTACAACTCCAGTATAGGCCTTGGAACTCGGTACCACTCCTTTCTCATTCATGTGCAATAGAATCCGTTTTGCATCTTCATGGAGTCCACCCTTTCCACAAGCAAATATCAAACCCTCGTATGTCTCCATATTTGGCTCAACATTCTCCTCCACCATGTCATTAAACAATGTGACGACCTCCCTAAAATAACCACCCTCGCCAAACACTTGTATCAATATATTATAAGTAGAAGCATCAGGTTCTGTATTGCTAACTTTCATCTCAAGAAACAACTCACGAACGTCGTCATATCGCCCATGCCTCCCATACAAATTCAGCAAAATACTATAAGTTGCAGCATTCGGCATACAACCTGCAGATTGCATTTGCCTAAATACACCCATAGCCTCTTTAATCGACCCAGAATGCGCATAAGCTTCTAACAATACGTTATACGAAGTGATATCTGGCACATTCCCCTCTGATTCCATCTCTTTAAGAAGATTAGAAACCTTCTCAAGCTTCTCCAATTTGCCAAACGTCTCGACAAGATAAGTGTATGTATTTATATCCGGAACAATTCCGGCCTCGTTCATGGTTCTAAAGATCATCTCCGCCTCATCCCCGAGGCCCCTACTACCACAAGCACAGAGCAACGTATTGTAAGTTACAAGATCTGGCTGAATTCCCTCATGTCGCATCTCAGCAAACAAACCCAAAAGCCCTTCCCACTCCAAACCGCCCCTAGCACAAGAATTAATAACAGTATTATAAGTCAAAATACTGGGAGAAATCCTTTCTCTCTTCATTCGTTCGAGTAGCTCGAGCGAAGTCTGGTACTGACCATTCCGACCGTAAGCGTTGATAAGAGCAGTGAAAGAGAACACGCTGCGGGCGACGCCATGAGTGGGCATTTCGTCGAATATCTCAGCGCACTTGTCGAGTAATCCCTCTCGGCCCAACACACCAATCATAATTGTGTAGATGTGTTCATTTGGCTTGCACCAGATCTGCCGTTGCATGTATTTGAAGAGGCGAAGCGAACGTTGCCAATCACCGCGCTGAGCAAACTCTTTAAAGACTAAGGCGAAGTCGTTAAGTGAAAGCTTGTTCTTGAATACGTCGAGGCACCGAGCTATGCTGCCTCGAGGGGGTAAGCTGCTGAGTTTGTTAATTAGGGTTTCTACATCGTAGCTGTACTTGCCTTTCTCTACTGTTACAGATGGGTTTCCGAGTATCAATTCTTTGGGTTTCGCTCTGGTTAACCCGGATAAGAAACTCCGGCCACCGGATAAGAAGTTGCTTCTTTTGGTGGGAAAGGAGCCCCAACCGAGAAAGTTGGAACTTCTTGGTTTGCCATGGAAGGGTCTGAGTATAGAAGATGAAAAAGCTGGGTTAGATACGGAGAGAAAGGACATGAGGGTCATTTTGGGTGCAATGGGAAGAAGCATCAGCTTTGAAGAAATTCCGTTTTATATTCTCGAGATTTCTCGCTGGAGTTCATGAGATTTCTATGTTGATCGTTGGTAGAACCGTAGAAGGTAGATAGAAGAAGCTGGACGCTGGAGAAGATTTCAATCGTTTGCTTAGCCTTCTATCTGTTTTTTGAGAAGAAAGAAGATGGATAACGAGGACTTGAGACTAGGGAGCTCGTGAAGTCCTCTGAAGAATGACACTGAAGCTCCAATGGTGACACGTGACATCCTGTTGGCTGTGGATAAAGAATCATGGTAATAAGGTTTTAAAACGTGGGTAAGACAGTGGAGAGTGGCGCGACTGAAGCTGAACTCAACAAAATGATTTCTTCAACCGTTTTAACGAGGTTTTAACTTCTAAGGATGTGTGAAAACAGAGGATTTGGTGGATTGGATCGCTTAAGCTAAACCGTCGAGTCGTCAACCTGGGAATGAATTAGGGCTGTTGGCCGTGTCATTCTAACTCGCCCGCGTTGGCCTAGATGACCCGGCTGCTCAATCTTCTCCCCCATTTGCATCAGTAATGTGCCATCACTTGGTGGAGTTGGTGCATTGGTATGCTTGGTTTGCAATCAGAATCGGAATCGCCCATTTTCATAATTAGGGGTGGGCATTCGGTTTATTCGGTTAAAAACTGAATTTTATTAATATTATACTAATACATATTATATATTATATATTAGTATATTTGTGTACATTATAATATATGCATATATTAATATATTTTATATGATATATATTAGATACATATTATAATATATTATGTTTTACATATTAATAATATATATTATAGTATGTATATAGTAAATTTCGGTTAATTTGGTTTTTTCTGTTAACCGAATTTTCACTCTTGAAAACCAAAACCAAAATTTTTTAAAACCGAATTAATCAAACCAAACAAACTGAAACCGAAAATTTTGGGTTTGGTTTTAATCGAACAATGCTCACCCTTACTCGTAGTCTGTTCAGTTCAAACAAGAATAGGAATGAAAATTGGAATCAGCAGGAATGGGATTTCATTCCCAAGGGAGGGGTAGGGAATGGCCATTCCCACAAATGGGAGAATGTCATTCTGGTAGGAATGGGTCTGTTCAGTTCAAACAAGAATAGGAATGAAAATTGGAATCAGCAGGAATGGGATTTCATTCCCAAGGGAGGGGTAGGGAATGGCCATTCCCACAAATGGGAGAATGTCATTCTGGTAGGAATGGGAATGGGATTCCGATTCTGCCCAACCAAACAGTTGGAATCAGAATAGCCCATTCCGATACCCATTCTAGACCTCTATTCTTGTGAACCAAATGGGGCCTTATATTTTTGTGAAATAATTGCAAATATTTGGGCTACTTTTTGTTTCTCTGTAAAATCCAATGAAATGTTTCGGTTGTTAATTTGATAGTCAATTTTTTATTTAATTTACATCCCCATATTTAAATTTGATTCATTAATATTCATATTTGACTTGAATCTTATCGATCAACTTCATATTGGATTTGGATATTAATCAGTTGATAAATTGAACTAAGAAAAACAAAATGTTATATATTATTGATAAAATTGAATAAAACAATGGCATCAAAATTGGTAAAATCTTACATCTTCTATTCAGCTTACACTTAAAACAACCAAGGAAATTTGAAACCAAGAAAAGTCCACATACTCTAAACAAAGGCATTTTACTTGAACCTACTAATTTCAAGTGGAGTCAATTGCATTGAAACAATGGAAGAAGTCTATTGCAGCTTATTATTCAGCCCTTACTTCCATGTGGAAGGAGCTGGATCGCTACAAGTCTATATATTACAATAGTAAAAAGGATGCTTCCGCATATGAAAATTTTCTCTCTCGAGAAAGGGTGTTTGCATTTGAAACTTGTTTATGAGCCTATACAGGTTTAGATTTTAGGTAGTAAGGAACTTCCACCCCTTGAGGAAGTGGTTACTTTGGTGCAATTTGAGGAAACTATGGTTGCTTCTATAGATCCTTCTAAGGGGGTGTAGGTGGCTTTACTTTCTAAGGATGATAGCAAGAAGGGTGGGATATAGAAGAAGGGAGGAGGTAACAAAGACAAGTTTTTGTGTACTCATTGTAAGAGATTTGGACACACAAAGGAATTTTGTTGGGATTTAGTTGGTTGACCCAACTAATATTGCTTCTTCCACTACTAGACAGGATACTCAATAGCCCAGTTAGGGCAACACTACTCTAATTCATCATCCTCTATCCTCTGTAATTAACGATGGCCTTGTCTTCTAAGCATCATGTGTGATCAATTTAAATAGTTTGGGCATGTTCTCAAATAGTTGGAGGAAACTTATATTACTCCCTCCATCCCGTATGTAGCAAATTCAAGTAACCATTCCCATGCTTTCCATGATTCTTCAGCTCCTTAATTTGATTAAGGTGCCACAAACCATATGGTTGGGGTAAGTCTTCCCATTTCTCTTCTTATTGTATATTGTCTAGAAACTATAAAGTTAAATTTGCTAATGGCCCTTATCTATTGTTGGACAAGGATTGCCTCTCTTCCAATTGGCTTAAGCTCATTTGATGTTTACCATATTCCAAAGATGCCTATTGATCCCATATCTATTAGTTGCATTATCAAATATTAAATTGCTTTGTTACCTTTCTCCTTGACTACTGTTTTTTTTTTTTTAGATTTAACTTCGAAGAGAATGATTGGTAGAGGTCACATGACAAATGGACTCCGTATTTTAGATTTAGTGGCTTTTGATTCTTCTAAGAGCACTAGTTTATTGAGTTAATATAGTTTGCATAAGAGTAAGCGTAATAAATACTAGATTTACCTATGACATTATTGTTTGGTCATTTATCCTTTGCTTCTTTGAAGGTTTTGTCTACAGACTTATTCAAGTTAGTGTCTTTGTCGTCATTAGAATGTTCTACTTGCCAGTTGAGCAAACATTGTAGAAGCCCATATCCTCTAATAAAAAAGTTGTTTTTCCTTTCATATTGTGCATTTTGATGTATAGGGCCTTACATCATTATGGTTGAAAGTGGATGTTAATATTTTATCAGTTTCATTGATGATTACTTATACTATACATGGATATGTATGATGTGATCTCATGATGAAGTTCTTGATATTGTAAAGAATTTTCACTGTATGGTGTATGCTTAGTTCAATGTTGATACTTAATTATTCACTTAAATAATGCTAAAGAGTACTTTACCAAGGATGTCAATACTTATCTTCTAGATAATAATATACTACATCAGAGCTCTTGCCCTAAAACATCGCAACAAAATGTCTGATGTGATCTCATGATGAAGTTCYTGATATTGTAAAGAATTTTCAYTGTATGGTGTATGCTTAGTTCVATGTTGATACTTAATTATTCACTTAAATAATGCTAAAGAGTACTTTACCAAGGATGTCAATACTTATCTTCTAGATAATAATATACTACATCAGAGCTCTTGCCCTAAAACATCGCAACAAAATGTCTGATGTGATCTCATGATGAAGTTCCTGATATTGTAAAGAATTTTCATTGTATGGTGTATGCTTAGTTCCATGTTGATACTTAATTATTCACTTAAATAATGCTAAAGAGTACTTTACCAAGGATGCCAATACTTATCTTGTAGATAATAATATACTACATCAGAGCTCTTGCCCTAATACATCGCAACAAAATGGTGTTGTTAAGAAAAAGAATAGGCATTTATTGGAAGGGCTCGTGGTTTGCTTATTTAGACGAATTTCCCAAAGTGGTTTTGGGCTGATGCAATTCTCATTGCAACCTACCTAATTAACTACATACCATTGAAATTGTTGCACTCTTGGGTCCCACATCAGTTGCTTTTCCCTTCATCTCCTTTGTTTTCCATTCTTCTCAATCTGTTTGGCTAATGATGTTTTGTCTATAATATTTCTCCCTTGTCTAGTAAGTTAAACCCCATGCAATTCCATGTGTGCTTTTTGGTTATCCTTCTACTCATATGGGGTATAAGTGTCTTGACCCTATACCTCACAAAGTTTACATCTCTATGGATGCTTCATTTTTGTAGTCACACTCTTTCTTTATTGTCTTACATCAATGAGAGAGTGGTGACAAGGTGAGACATTTTTTATTTTCCTTCTATTGTTCATATTCCTTATTAGCTCTACCTCATTCACCACCTTGTCATACTTTTTCTCATCATACATGTCATCATTACAAAGATGTATCGTTAGATTAACCACTAAAAGGTATGAAACCAATTGAAGTGCAACCATTGCCATCAAACTCTTATGAGCCAAATCCTCATGCCAATCATCCTTCATATACCTATAAACATTTTCCTTGTGATATTGACCTTCACATTGCTCTTTGTATGGGTGTAAGGACTTATACCAAACACCATATTGCTTGTTTTATTTATATTCCTCACTTGTCTCCTAGTTATTGTGCCTTCATTTCTGCTATTTATAGTGTGTCTATTCTTAAATATGTTATAGAGGCTTTGGAATTACTTGAATGGAAAAATGCTATGTGAGGAAATCCATGCCTTTCATAAAAATCACATGTGACACCTTGTTGATCTTCCAAAGGGAAATAAGCCTGTAGATTGCAAGTGGATGTCTATGGTAAAGCTTTGTGCTAATGGGTCTATTGAAAGGTATAAGGCAAAGCCAATAGCAAAGGGATTCTCACAAGCACATTATGTGAATTATGATAAAACTTTTGCTTCGATTGCCAAGATGAAATCTCTTTGGGTGCCATTATCAATAGATATCAATTTATCTTAGCATGTTCGTCAATTAGATGTGAAGAATGTATTTTTGAATGTTGATCTCAATGAGGAAGTATATATGGTCTAGCCTCTTAGATTTTTAGGTGCAGAGCAATAAGGATAAAGTCTATCATTCAAAGAAATCTTTATATGGCTTGAAGCAATCCTCTAAGACATGGTTTGAGAGGTTCAATAATGTTGTTCAATAGATTAGTTTTATGTTGTGCCAGATTGATTATACATTGTTTGTGAAAAAAAAATGAGGTGGTATGACTACTATTCTGATATATGTATATTGATAATATTGTGATTATATGAAACTAAGAGAAGACATTCAAGAGTTAAATAAATTTCTAGCTTCATAGTTTGAAGTTAAAGATCTCAAGCTTTTAAAATATTTCCTTGGTATTAAAGTTGCATAATTTGACAATGTATCTTTATCTCCCAAATGAAGTATATTCTTGATCTGATGAAGGATATTGGAAAACTAGGGTGTAAAGAAGCTGATTTTCCTATGGATCCAAGTCATAAACTTAGAAATTGTGAAGGTAGGA